ACTGATGGGCGGCGAGGGGGCTGACATCCACGGTTGCTCAAACAAGTCCATCACGCATTGGCCGACAATTGCAGCAATTGGCCAGCCTTCGAGTTATGGCCAGTGCGCAGTGACGATTAGAAAGCTTGTTTGGGCCGGTTTAGGTTTGTGAGAGGGGTGCTTAAGGGCCCCTGATGCTACCCTCCCTGGGACTGATGGATGGTGAGCGGGGGACATCCACTGTCGCGCAAACAAGTCCACTGCACTTCAGTGGATGGTGGCAGCATTTGGGGGGCCTCCAAATTTTGGCTACCACACATTGACTGTTTGGAGTCATTTGTGTTTTTTCCTGTGTGTTTTGTTTTGCCGCTCTTTTGCTTTGAATGTGTTTCTTCGAAAATCATGTTCTGCGCTCATCATCCGAGTCTATGTAAACCTCCCTACGCCGTACTGAGGTTTTTGAATGGGGCCGTTCGGACGGTCGTATCAATGGCTGAACGGCTGTATGTGACGGGGCCGTTCAATATCCACATAACGGCCGAAATAGGTGACAAAAATATGGGATTAACACCGGATTGTAGAGCAAAAAACGCTATACAACCTAGGCTACGATTTTCCCGGACGGCCCGGCCGTGCACGGATCAGGGAAAGTCCTAGCAGGAAAAAAAAAAAAAAAAAAATCCGGAAAAAAGCTATGTTATGCAGAAAAATAAACTGAACAACTTTTGCCTCAGGGTCACATCGAAATTCTTTACCATATTTAAAATATGCAAGGAAGATGAGCATTAGCGAACTCCAGCAATCAAACAGCATCATACATATGTGTCCAGATAGTCTTGACCTCGAACCAACAGCAGTCATGCATCACGAGATTCACCAAATCAGAACACACCAATAGTTTGTAATTGACAATGCTGAAACAGTCTCTCATCATCATCAACGAAGAACAAGAGTTGATATCCTATTGGCGCTCGGCGCCCAGACTACTTGTGGCAGATCCTATCTAGCCTAATACTACAATGCCGATGTTGACAACAACAGCTCCCTGAAGTACGAGCATACAGCGGACAATGCCGCACGCTTACAGCACCAGGTATGTCTCTCGTAACACTCACAACCTCGATCCACACCGCACAGATGCCACTTGCACCCAAGGACCACCCTGCGTCACATCCAGCCTACAGCGGAGGAGCTCGGCTATGGCTGCCCGCTACCTCCCTGCTCGCCCGTGAGAGCGTGAGTGCCAGCCAGCCAGCAATGAGCGCAGCAGCGCTTGCGCAGCATGCAGCCAGCACCCGAATGTCGAATGAGGAGGCAGGCCCTTCCCTATATCGAAGTGGCCTGCCTGTGTCCAGTCCAGGAAGCTTCCGGTAGGCCTCGGTAGGCACAGGCCCAGTCACGAAGAGAGCAGGCCTTGGGCCTGAAGTGGTTGCATGCGCCCAACTGCTTTCGGCCTGTGTTTGGCCCGGTACCCGTATCCAGCCCAGGGCCTGCTTCACATTCATTTACACAGGTGGCCCAGGGCCTGGATTCATTCAACCAACTGGCGCAACGCAACTGCCTGAATTTCCCCGATGCGGGGTACCGTGAAGAATGAGGCCCGAAGGGCCTGTCGTGCCTGCCTTCACTTAGGGCGGCCGACCTTGTTGCAGATAGGGCCCCGTAGGGGCTAAGCGGGCGTAGCCTCGCAAATACAAAATAAAGTTAAAAATAATTTGTTTTTTTGAATTTCTTTCTTTTGGCCCGGCTGGGCAAGTGGCCCCGGGCCACTCTGGTAGCCTAGTATACAACCCATTAAAAAAAAAAAAAATTGGTCTTTACGTAGGGAGATATCCCGGGCGCCCGGGTCCCGATGTCACGTCCGGTTCGGCGACTGGGTGACCGGCCAGGCATGACCCCCGGGTACGGGGCACCGGCAGCCCCAGCACCAAACAAAAAAAAAGAAAAAAAAGATCAAAATATATGTTGTGTAGAATTGCATTACCAACAACTTTTGGCTGAGGGTCACATCAGCCAGAACTTGTTGGTGGGGTGGCGGCGCGTGGGGGAGGAAGGCGCGAGGGCGCTATGGGGGACACGTGCAGAGGGGCACTACCATGCTCCTGCCATGGGCCAGTCCTGGCTGACAGGGGTCAGTAATCCTGGTTGACTGTGGAGGGATAGGGAAGTGATGTGGGGACAGTCAGCGGGCGGGATCTGGACGTCACTGTCATACCAGAATTATCAACCTATCAGGGGCGCAGTCCCCTGGTTTCAGATACGGAACTCGAGAGTTGGGAGAGGATTTCGACCGAGCTTGGTGATGCTGATTGAAGTGCTTGGTGTATGCCCAATCGACGGTGGAATGGAAGGTTGGGTTGTTTAGCATCGACATTTGGGTTGCTGTGCCTGTGTTTGGGATGACGGATCGGATCGACTGATTACGCTCCTCCCTTGCTATTGGCGTGTTGGTGCTGCTGGATGAGATGTTTTGGCCCGCGTTTTGGAGTTGAGCAGAATTGCACGTGAGCCCACAGGTCTGTGACCCTGTTTTAGTCACCTTGCCGGTGTTCTGTTCACCAGTGGAAGGACTTGGATTGCAACAGTCGGCTTCACACAGTTTTGTCGTCGTTTGTTTTTCTAGTCAATTAGGTGTATAGCCTCTACTTCTGGGCTTAGCTAGGGGGAAGGAGAAAACGAAAATCGGGACGGTTTTGTTGACGTGTTGTAACTTGGGTTACTTTTTGCCGCCTGCTGAATTGGAGATACATAATTAAGGTGCTGCGGCGGTCGTGTGGAAATTTAGTGGACACTAATTAGAACCTAGGGATTGGTAATCTGATAGGGGGAAGGAAAGTTAGTTTGGTTTTAATTGGTTTTATATGCTGGGTTAGTTTAGTTTAGACAGATGGTGATTGTGGAGTAATTAGTGGATACTAATTAGAACATAGGGGAATAGTGATCTGCCAAAGAGGAAGGAAGATGGAAATAGAGATGGCATTTCTGTAGGGGAATCGTAATTACTTTGCCTAATTTGTCTATTAGGTTTGGTAATTAGCGTATTAGGGTTGGTAATTAATTACTAATTAGGAAATCGTAATTACATTTGGTTAATTAGCATATTAGGATTAGTGAGTAATTAGGAGATACTAAGTTCAGTACTGCTAGATTTGAATCTTTTTTTTTTTTGAATTGCATCTGCTTTCAAATGACCAGTTAGTGGCAGCTAGGGTTTGGTAATTAATTACTAATTAGGGAATCGTAATTACATTTGGTTAATTAGCATATTAGGATTAGTGAGTAATTAGGAGATACTAAGTTTAGTACTGCTAGATTTGAATCTTTTTTTTTTTTGAATTGCATCTGCTTTCAAATGACCAGTTAGTGACAGCTAGGGTTTGAGCAATGCTGCTTGATTTCTTGGTTGCAGTCGGGAATGGGATCGGACGGGAGTGCTTTTCCCAGCCCTGTATGGCTGCGGTCTATATTTAAGGGACGCTGGACCCGTTTTCCGGCATACAATGGAATGGTATCCATGTAAAAAAAAAAAAAAAAGAATTCCTCACGGAACTGAAGATTAAAAAAAACAATAACCAAATCACACTAAGCCACCCCCCTCTAAACCCCTTTAGCCCCTTTAAAATTCATTTATACTCCCCTTCCCCTTCCCCCTTGACAGCCAGCACTCAGAAAAAGAAAAGAGCTCGGATTTGGGCTCCTCTCGGAGAGCGTGGAAAACCCCGACCGCCATTTTTTTTTCCCCCCCATGCCCAGGTATCCCGGGCGTTACCCTCGGGTGACCGGCCCGTCATGAAAATCTTCCTAGGTCTTTACTCAGAAAAAAAAAAAAAAAAAAAAAAACATTGAAATGAGAAAGTAAAAAAAATAAAAAAAATCAAAACAAAAAGATTGATTGATTGATTGTTGATTGTGCATGAGAACTTGCCGCTTGCGCTAGGTCCAAAAGACTCGAACACACGACCTTCCGCTCATAAAGCGGACACTTAACCAATAAGCTAAGTGGGCTGGGGTGAAAGTGAAGAGCATTTCACCCCACCCCAGCATGGATTTCTCCATGACCCGTTGTACCCAACCTCACTACACAGGCGGAAGTTCTCATGCTTGCGCGCGCATCAGTGCTCGGCCGTGAGAGGGAGCGTGAGCGCTCCCTGTCTTTGTCGGTCTCTCTCCGTGCGCGCATGCGCGTGCGCAAGAGAGAGAGAGAGAGAGAGAGAGAGAGAGAGAGAGAGAGAGAGAGAGAGAGAGAGAG